AACAGAGGAGAGGACAGCACCGTGATGGCGAACCTTTTGAGCTCGGCGTGTCAGCATTTTGAAAAGCCCTAACTTAACTCTGGTGCCGTGTCACATATAGAAATTTTTTGATATTTGCAACCATAGTAAAACAAAGACTTATATTTTTGATATTTATTTTATATATTTAAATGCCATTTAACAAAGAAAAATCAACCAAAAAAATGAGTTCGTGTGTCACCTCTGACACGCGTGTCATAGGTTCGCCATCACTGTGCAGCTAGAAACACTTTTATAACAAACAATATGTCACTTTCAATTTAAAAAGAGAGAGAGATTTTTATGGTTCTACAAAGTTTGGGAATTCCATTGTCAGAAACTGAAAACTTGTACTGACAATCTTTACCCACCACATGTTCTTTGAACAAAGTATACTGGAGTCAGAGGAGGAACTGGTGGTAATGGAAAGAATCAGTGAAGTACTGCGTCTGGCTGCACTTATCGTGGGACAGAAAAATAAAGAGAGAACACCTAAACTAGTCATTTATGAAACTTTGAGTTATGAGAGACCAATAGTTTATCTATACTAATAAAAGGGTAATATGCTAATTAGACTGGACATCTTCCGGACTTTACTCCGGACAAAGCCATGGTGGCGGGGCCGAGGCAGAGGCGGTTAGGGGGATCAGGCTGGCAGGGGAGAGCAGTTAGGGGTATCAGGCTGGCAGGGGAGAGCAGTTGGGGGATTAGGCCGGCAGGGAGGGGAGCGGTTAGGAGCCAGCGGTCCTGGATTTTGAGAGGGATGTCCGCCTGCTGATTTAGGCCCTATCCTGCAGCAGGGATCAGGCCTAAACTGGCAGTCGGACATCCCCCAAGGGGTCCTGGATTGGAGAGGGTGCAGGCTGACTTGAAGGACCTCCCCTCCCCTGTGCACAAATTTAATGCACTGGGCCTCTAGTATAATAATAAGTATAAAGCATTTTAAGACCTACAGAAGATAAGCAATGGTAAGATGCTTGTAAGAGGGCAAATGTGAACAACAGAACCACAGCACTGGGAATTACAATAGAAACATATTTGTGTCAGTGTAGCAGATACCTATCTTGTGGCATAAATTGGCTCGTTAGTATCAACATGAATCTGAATCTTCTCCAAAAGCTTTCCAAAGGAGTAGAAGTTACAAACCTGTTAATAAGGAGCTGAATTCATGTCCACTTCAGATTCAAAGTAGAAATAAGTCTTTGAGCCTGATTTGGCAAGAATTATTTTAAATAAGAAAACATTGCCATGGTAATAAATGGAACATGGAGAAAATAGTTTTAAAAACACAAATAAAATGAAAAATACCTTTATCAATCATAACTCAGAGATAATCACTACTAAAATTTATATATTAATTATTTTCTTTTTTCTACCTATATATAAGATCTATCAAAATGAAATATGTATTTTTATGATAGCATTTTTTCACTTTGCAACCACTTAGGAACACCTTTTGTCAATGTCTGTTTTATCTATAAGCATGATTATTAGTGGCTCCACTGCATTCCACTGTAAAGACATACCATAATTTACTTAACCAACTCTCTATCATTGGACATTTCTGTTGTTTACAATTTTTCATCATAAACAATACTTTTACAATCTTAACACATACACTCAATTATTTTCTTCTGGTAAATTATTAGAAGTAAAACTGTTCAGTCTAAGATTGTGTCTTTAAGGCTTTTCTTTCTTTCTTTCTCTCTCTCTTTTTTTTTTTTTTTGGTGTTTTTGTTGTTGTTTTGTTAATCCTTACCAGAGGATATTTTTTTCCCATCAAATTTTAGAGAGAGTGGAAGGGAGAAAGAGAGAGAGAGAGAAACATTGATGTGAGAGAGACACATTGATTGGTTGCCTCCAGTAAGCGCTCTTTCTCTCCTCCCTCTCTCCCTCCCTTCCTCTCTCTCCAAAATCAATCAATAATTTTTTTTTAAAAAAAGATAGCTATCGCCGAAACCGGTTTGGCTCAGTGGATAGAGCGTTGGCCTGTGGACTGAAAGGCCCCAGGTTCGATTCCGGTCAAGGGCATGTGCCTGGGTTGCTCGATGTTTCTGACTCTCTATCCCTCTCCCTTCCTCTCTGTAAAAAATCAATAAAATATATTAAAAAAAATAAAAAAAGTAAAAAGATAGCTATCACAAAGGAGGCCATATTTGAGCTGTATCTGAAGGACAAGCAGGAATTTGCTAGACAAAGGAGAGAAGGTAGGGCAACCCTGGCTGAGAAAACAGCACATCCTAAAACAGTGGTTCTCAACCTTCTGGCCCTTTAAATACAGTTCCTCATGTTGTGACCCAACCATAAAATTATTTTTTTCGTTGCTACTTCATAACTGTAATGTTGCTACTGTTATGAATCATAATGTAAATATATGATATGCAGGATGGTCTAAGGCGACCCCTGTGAAAGGGTCGTTCGACCGCCAAAGGGGTCGCCACCCACAGGTTGAGAACTGCTGTCCTAAAGCCTAGAATACAAATGATTCCATGGAGTGGGGAACAGGTGGGAACAGGGTGATCCAGTAGAGTGACCATAGTGATCACAGGACATTCTTGCAGTAAGTGTGCAAACCGAAGGAGGCCCCTACCTGGCACCAGGCAGGGCAAACACCAGCATTAGCACATTCCCCCTGTTGATATTATATAACAGATCAAATATGAATCCAAGGGAGAACCAAAGTCTTCTGACTTCTAGGATATGAGACCATCAATGGATAGCATTATAGAGCCGGAAGTTCCCTTAAACTTGACCTGGCACTGAACTCTCATTTTTCCAGGTGGGGACACCTGTAGGCAACTTGCCAAAGGTCATACAGATGATAAAGACCCACTTTTACTGGGATGTGCTTACAAATAACCCACTTCCATAGTAAAACATTTTTATATTTCCTGGAATATATATAACATATTTTAGCCAGTGGAGTTAAGAAAAAAAAACTGCTTTCAAAACTCTAATCGATCCTTGTCCTGTCCTTGTTTTCTTCTCAAACTACATGCCAAAAAAGAACTGACTCCCTATTGCTTTCAACCCCCCACAAATCAGTGTTTCCAAGTGACTCAATCTAACATAATTAATCAAACTCCCTGCAACACCTCCCTTGTACCAACCACATAGCCACAGGTAACTTATACTAGTAAGTTTCATTGAAGTGTCACTTCCAAGCTGTCCAAAGAGTAAATATCAACATACTAAAGGTTTTCTCCCTTGAATACATTTCTCCGCATCAATGACTTTCTGAAGGGATGTGTGTGTTTTCTTGGCGCTCGCTGGTTGTGTAAATTAACATGAAAAGCCTATGCCATGGTCACTAACAGACTGTAAGCCACTTTAATCCCATGTGCCTGGGGGTCATGCTAGATAATATAGAACCACCACTATATGGCAGAGCAAGCTCTTGGCCGAGGCTCGAAAGCATTGTTAAAAGAGCCCCAGCCTCCAGCTGCTGAGTGAATGTGACCGGGATGGGGGGACATTCCACCACTCTGTATATTGTCCCCAGCCAAAGTTGGGCTCCCCGGAGCAAGGCAAAAGGAGAGATGGACTATTCTTTCCTGCTTAACTTCTCTTAAATCTCCTCACTGTTCAATCCAAAGGCCACCTCCTCCACGAAGTCTTCCTTGACTGACCTGCTTTGAATCATATCTTCCAAGGCCTGCTAATCATTCTACCCTCTCCTTTTGGCTACAGTGATTGCATCAACTGAGATGAACCAATCAGAGTCTTCCACCGGACTTTATATGCAGATACTACCTTCTTCTAGAATGTCCTTTCTTCTAGAATGGCTACATAGGTTGATAAAAGCCTGTGGTCATGCTTTCTATCATATTCTTCCCTTCCTAACTCTTTCTATCCCCCCCACCCCGCCCCACACACACATCTTCCAAAATTCACCTTATAAGGGAGACTTGTGTACAAAGTAGAATGAAAACAACACAAAGAAGAGCCGAGAGAGAACAGCCACCACCTATGGCACTCTACCCTAAGACATCTTGCTGAGGAGTAGGCGGGAGCCAAAATCCAGCCTCTATTCTATTCACCCAGGTAAGGGCTACCCTCCACCCTTGAAAGGGAGCCCCCTTTTCTTTCAAAGGAAGTATCTGCCTGCTCCCTAAGCCTTCTCATGCACACATAAGAGTTGCATATGCTAGAGAGATGTGGTAAGATCAGCAAAGCCTTTAAAGTCATCCCCAATCCTTCCTACTTACAGCTACCAACACATTCCTTTTTCACCCACACTTGCTTCAGCTGGGTTTTTGACACTTGTAACCAAAGAAGTCCTGACCGAGACAGCAGAACAGACACCCAGATTGCTTTGGATGCAGCAACACATTTGTTTATTTCCTCACCCGAGGATATTTTTCCATTGATTTTTAGAGAGAGTGGAAGAGAGAGAGGGGGATAGACAGAGAGAAATATCAATGTGAGAGAAACACATCGATTAGTTGCCTCCTACATGCGCCCAGACCAGGGCTCGGGCTGGGGAGGAGCCTGCAACCAAGATATGTGCCCTTGACCGGAATCGAACCCAGGACCCTTCAGTCTGCAGGCCAATGCTCTATCCACTGAGCCAAACCGGCCAGGGCAATGCATTTGTTTTAGCCGTTAACTTCCTAATAGCCATTTTCTTTGGGATCTTCTTTCCAATCTCCAAGTCCTCAGACTTCCTGAATCAGGCACAGAATAACTAATACCCTCCCTTTTCTTTCTTAGAGACTCGGATAGCTTATATGCAGAGATAATGTACCAAAGAAATCAAGTTCAACCCAGTAATGCTGCGGTTGCTTTCTTCATGACAATGATTAGATAGGCTCTCTTTTCTAACCTTTTTGGTAACGCCTCCTCTGTGGACCCCAGCAGCAGGGTATGCTGTCCAGACACTGGCTGTTCGTGCCTAACCTGAAAAAGGGTCATTGCTAATTTCCCCTCACAAATCCTGATGTGTTTCATTGCGTTTTGTTTGTAAGGGATGGATCGCTCACCCTCTTTGGTATCTGTCCAACTCGTGCAGAACCGTGCGGTCGCAGTACTCAAACACCAGGTGCAGCCTCCGCTTCCTCCGGAAGACTTCGATCAGGTTCACAAGGTTGGGATGCTTGAGTTGCTGAAAACAGGAAGGACAAGGCGCCAAATGTGAGGTGTGGAAGACAGCGTTCTCTAGTTCGGACCCAGTAAAAAGAAAGCTGCTCGTCCTTTAGGAAGTTTTTGTCTTGGTTGAAGTAACCTGTAAACAGTATTATCTTACTTCTCTTCATGAGCTGTTTGCTAGTAGCTTGTATGTGAAAAGCGATTATAGCCCAGGTGGTTGGTGAAGGCAAAGAGAGATGTGAGAAGGCTGGGAAAGAAAGGAGAGTGAAAAGGGAGGGATGGTTTAGTTAATACAAACTCATCCTCTAAGGCTCAGATGAAATGCCCTTCCTAAGGAGGTCTCCCCTGCTCCCCAGGGCTCAGTGCCCCTGCATGGCTGGTAGCTCCCCTGAAGTATGTGTCCTTCAGAACCTGTTGTCTTTACTAAGTAATTACAGAGTAAAAATTCCTCAGTTGATTGTTTATGTCCTCTGCTGTCAATAGATATAACAGATACATTCCACAGAATGTAAGGACCATGATATCAGGGTCTGTGTTCTCTTGTTTACTCAAAATGATGTTGTTGAACCCCCAGTACACAGCCTCGGCAATTATTTGTGGATGAATAAATAAATCACGCTTCCTAAGCTGATGAAACATTTTAAGACAGGAAAACAAGGAAGACTTCAATCTGATGTGCCTGAAGGTGTGTGTCTAGAACATGGACCAGGGTGGAGGCCAGACAGATGGCGAGAAAGGCACTGTTCAGAGATATTCTTAGTGATTAGAATAGTCAGATGTGGTGAGGGACTGGAGGTGAGGGAGGGGGAAGAGGAAGTCATCAAGAATGACTAAAGGTTTGTATCGTGGGGCAGATGGCAGGGTCAGCAGTGGGAGAGGGAATGGTTTCTTTGGGGAAGAAATGACTATCTTTGGCATGTTGGGAACTCTGAGACACCAGAGTGGAACCGTCAGGTTGGCTGGAGTTAGAGCTGAAGATAAAAGCCGGGAGTCATCGTGAGTGTAAGTGAATCCACGGACACATGCGATTGACCAGAAGAGCGAGTGAGAAGGGAAGAGGCCCAAGGAACCCCTGCGCATCTGAAGGGTGGGTGAGGAGGAAGAGAGAGGGAAGAATGTCCCCCAAGGTAAGGAAGAAGACAATAGAGCATGATGCCATGATGCCACAGGCAGAATGTGGAAGGACAAATAGACTGCGGTGATGGAGGCTGCTGACAGGTCAAGTGGGGAGCGGCCTGAGCATGCCTGGTGGGTCTCCCTAGGCAGGGGTCATGCGACCTCCCTGGAAGCAGTGTCAGTGCAGTGGTGAGACCAGGAGCCAGACCCTATGGGTGTAGCATCTCAAACCACATTACTCCTCTCTCTCTGTTGACTCCAGGGGCAGGACTCAGAGAGGCACCTCTGGTCTTGAAACCAGTTTGCAATCAGCAGCCCAGAGGTTTCAATCACAGCTCAACATTCACAATGTCATTCAAGAAGGTGTGGATGTTTCTACTTCAATACTGAATGGGCTTCTTTAGGGACATAGGGAGGAATTAGACGAGAAGAACCAAGCAACAAGATGGATGGATGGATGTTCACAGGCTTATTCAACATGTTTATTATACATACAAGTCATCTTAATAGTCCAGACTAGATTACCATATATCCTACAAAGATTTAGTTCGGGGCTCATTTAATTAGAATCCCTTCGTTATTATGAGTATGTAAAGCCAAAGCCTCAGGCCCAGTCTCATTCCTCAGCATTCTGAGCTGGGCTGGCCCAATCTGGAGTCATCAGTGGTTCTTACCAGCCTGGTCACCGCCATCCTTCAGCTATGCTGTACCTAGAAGCCTGGGCCACTCAGACGAAGGTGTAGTTTCTTGTGTTAAAGTTTCTGCCTTTGCTGCTGCAATTTTACTTTGGTCTCCCTTTTAGTTTCTCTCTGTATTTTAAATATTGGATTAGAGTTGGAGACATCGGTATGAACTCATGTTTAGCTTAATGCAGGTACAGATGATTACTTACAGAAAAACCTGTAGATATGTCTGTATACATAGACTGGAATTCACACATATATGACTTTGCTCTGTCAGATCAAAGAGCCTAGAAGCAACCATACCCCAGGGGCAACATGTGCACCTAGAGCTCAAATCTTGGTTGCTAATACCCTTCTCCAACAAAGGGAACAGGGCTCCTGGGAGAAAATGGATGATTCTAGATAAGGAGGAAATGTACAAGATAACGCCAGAAAGTAAGGAAATGATAAAAAAAACAAATCCTACATTGATGATGGTATGTCAAAGGGACACAAATACCCATGAATCCATCCTGATATGACTGAATGATTGACTGACTGACTGAATAAATAAATAAATAGGAGAAAATAAATACATTTATGTAGAAGAATTCCAAATAATTCCTGTAGATACTCTGCCTTCACGGAGGAGAGCCGAACTCCCCACTCCTCATGTGTGGGCTGCACATAGTGACTTCCTTCCAAAGACTACAGGATGGAGAGACAGCGCAAGAGTGACTTCCTTGGAGAAACCTGACAGACACTATCTCAGGCAGGTGACGTGGTTTTCCTCCCAAGCCCGGGACCCCAGTTTAACCGTGACGAAAACACCAAACAAATTCCAACAGGGGCACTTTCTACAAAACACCTGGCCAGGACTCCTCAAAAGCACAGAAAATCTGACACTGTCACAGCCAAGACAAGCCCAGGGACACGTGGTGAGTAAATGCCGTTTGGAATCCCAGATGGGATCCTGGGACAGAAAAAGGACATTAGATTAAAACGAAGGAAATCAGAATAAAGTATGGACGTCAGTTAATGATAATGTATCAATACTATTTCCTTAATTATAACAAATATACTGTACTAATGTAAGGTGTTAATAATGCATGAAACTTGCCCTAACCAGTTTGGCTCAGTGGATAGAGCATCAGCCTGCGGACTCAAGGGTCCCAGGTTCGATTCCGGTCAAGGGCATGTCCCTTGGTTGCGGGCACATCCCCAGTAGGGAGTGTGCAGAAGGTAGCTGATCGATGTTTCTCTCTCATCGATGTTTCTAACTCTCTATCCCTCTCCTTTCCTCTCTGTAAAAAATCAATAAAATATATTAAAAAAATAATGCATGAAACTAGGTAGAGGGTATATGGTAACTCTCTATAGTATCATCTCAAATTTCTGTAAATCTAAAACTGTTCTAAAAAATAAAGTCTATTGAAACACAAGTACACACATACACACGCGCACACTCACACACACAGACACTTTTACCCAGCACACCACTTCTGGGAATATACCTTATAGAAATAAAAGCACCACTGCACACAAGGATATGTACAAGGATACTTACTGCAATATTGTATGTATAGGTAAAAAGCTGGAAATAACACAAACCTCCTTTGATAGAAGAGGATGGCTAAATAAATTGTGATACATTTAAACTATGAAGTATTAAATATTGTGCAGTTATTAAAAATAATGAGATTAACAGAGGCCTCTCTATTGATCTTATGACAATGATGTATGTTAAGTGAAGAAGACAAACTACTGAGTAATTTTATGAAAATAGGAAATACATTAAGATATGTAAATTATTCTATTTTCATATATTCATTTGATATACATTGTTATTTAAAACATATACTGAGCCCTACTCTGTGCCAGACATTATTCTAAGCTCTGGGATTACAATATTTAACAAAGATGACAAAAATCTCTGCTGTCAGGAGCTCATACAAGGGTGGGTAAAAGTATGTTTAGAGTTGTTAGTACGTGAAACAGAGTTTGTTCTTGTATTATTATTCATTAATTACTGCAGTATTTTCCATAGGAACAACTGTAAACTTACTTTATCCCACCCCTGTGTTTGAGCATGCTGGGTGGTGGTGAGTCTTATGGAAAGAAATATAGTAGGTAGAGAACATAATATGATAGGGGGTTGCAATTTAAAACATGGTGATCAGAGAAGAACTCACTAAAAAGGTAACAAATGGAAAAAAAAGTCTAGAGAAGGTGCAGGTCATGAGGATTTCCAGAAAATTGTTCCAGGCAGAAAGAACTGCCATCCCAAAGGCTCTTCTGTGGGATCCTGCCTGGAATGTTTGCAGAACAGCAAGGAGGTCCGCGTTCGCTGCCTCTCGCATGCTGCTTCCCCTCCTTCAGTGCATCCTTTAGTTTAGCCATTGCTGCAGCTTCCAGCTTTGCCCAGATGTAGCCAGCAGCTCTCACCTCAGCCGTACTCTGTGCCTTGGCTTTCTGCCCCAGGGCTGCTGGGTGCTGGGATATGGGATGCTGGCGGGTTGGCTCTACCATGCAGGAGGGAGAACTCCGTGGGGCGAACCCTTGACCAATGGGGGACAGGAAGTGGTGGGTAAGTCCTCTGGTCCTCAGGCTCCTTGCAGAGACCTGGCAGGAGGAGCCCCTTTGCCCTTGCATTGCCTTTTCCTCCTTCCCTATCTCCCTCTCTCCGATCCCTGGTATCACTCCTGCTCCCTGGTATCACTTCCCAAAACAAGCTACTAACAGAGTCGCTTGTCTGAGACTGCTTTCTGGGAGGTGTCCAGGCTGAGAGAGTTGGTACTAGAAGTGGCCCAGGCTGGCAGATCTTCAGAAAGGGATCTGGAACTGGATCAATCCCCAGGCAGATGGCCAGGCCCCCACAGCTGGTGGCAAGTGGGGCGAGAGGAAGCTCCGGGGAGCAGCAACAACACAATGACTGAGACTTCCATCAGTCATGCTTTTGAATGTGGTGCAGTTTGCCTTGTGCATTAGCAGTGGCACGTGACTAATATGGGGCAATGATAATTACAGGGATTATCGAATGACTGGCTTTTGTTAACACCTTTAGGTCGTTGAGAAAAGAAAAGAGAAAATGATAGATAGGTTCTGGTTAGCCATCCATCAACTGTGGGAGTCAGAAGGCCTCTGTGGCAGCCCTGACCGACCGGGTGGTGCAGTTGGTTGGAGCGTTGTCCCATACACGTTTCGGGTTCAATCTCCAGCCGGGGTGCGTATAGGAGGC